ACCATGACCCTGGTTGGGTAGGCATCTGGGCAAGAAAGGGCTTGGCCTGGGGCTTGAGGGTAGGTGCCCACTATGCACTAAGCACGGGGCCATCCTGCCTCCTGCCCTGCCTCATGGCTTTGGCCCGAAAAGGGCTCAGCACCACGAGAACTGTGCCTGCGATGAAAGGCGTTCGGAGGTCTGGAGCAGACGGGGCTGAGGGGGGAGATGGGAGGAGAGTAGGCCTTGAGGCATCACTGCAGTCTCCTCCTTTGACCTCTCTCCTTGGACTCTGGAAGTGGGCAGGGGTGTTTCCTGACACCCTGCAGGCAGTGAGGTGTCTGCCACCTACACGCTAAAAGAAAGGAAATGAGGTGCTGACACAGTGAGAAGCTCTAGGGTCAGGTGAACATGGATTCCAACCCTAGCTCTGTCCCCAGCCAGCTGCGTGGCCTGGGGCAGGCTAGTCAACCCCTCTCTGCCTGCTTCCCTGTCTATAAAGTGGGTGTCACAATGTCACTAGCTTCCTAGGGCAGTAGTGAAGAGGAAATGACACCGGCTATATGATGGGTTTGTCCCAAGCATTTGATAAACTTTAGCCGCTTATGATTATAAGTAACTCCCTAGAAGATTCGAACGACCCTCTCCTGCCTTTCCCGACATGCAGTCCCCTGTCCACCCACAGGATGCCCAGTCTAGGATAACACCTCCACTCTACCTTTGCACATGCCAATCTGTCTGCCAGGCACGCCCTCACCACTCTCGGCTGATGGGTGTCTTCAAAAACCAGCCCCTGCGAAGCCGCCCCTGACACCCTTCATCCACCCTCACAGCTCCCAGAACCTCATCTAGTGGCAGCACCTGCGGATCGCGGCGGCACATGAGGCTGTGCACGCAGCTCTCTACACCCACGATGGCATTTCAGCCTTCCAAACCAGATGGACATCAGTATTATTAACTCCTCTGGAGAGCTGGGGAAATAGAGGCACAGAGAGGCACATGGCTTATCCCGGGTCCCACAGTCAGTGGGTGGAGGCCCTGGGACCAGAACATGGTCTAACAGCGCAGAGCAAATTTCCAGCTGGTAGTGCAGCGGAGGAGACAGTGGCCTTCCCCATAGCCCTGTCAGGAACTGTGAGCTCAGGCTCAGGGCTACCCCTGACCTCCCCAGGGTCTGCCTCGCCCCTACTCCACAGCCTGGGTCAGGGGAACAATCGCCTCTGTTGACCAGGCCTTGGCCGTGAGGACTTTTCACACATAAATGGCTCAGCCGTTGGGCTTAGGGAAGCAAGGCTGTGCCTTGAGGGAAGTATAGGCTGTGTCACCAGTTGGCTGATGCTGGGGCAGCATTGGGGAGGCACATTTAGAAATAATTCAGCCCCATCTTGCCAAGGCCCAGAGAGAGGCGGTGATTTAGGAAAGGTCACACAGCCTCCTGACTCGCAGTTTGCTGCCTCCTTCCTCCCTCCCCAGCCACCTCTCTGCTGTCTTCCTCTCTTTATCCATCAGAGGCTTAGTGGCCTGAACAAGGACCCTCATGGCTAGGGTGGAAAGATTCATATTTTATACAATTCTGTAAACAGTACCATGACGTCCATGTCCCCTGGCTCATCCTGGACACACAAGTTGACAGCCACAGATCTAATCCAGCTCCTCCTCCTGCTTTGTACAAGTAGGGAAACTGAGGCCCGGAGATGCCAAGGGACTTCTCAGGTCACATAGCAGGCTTATGGCAGAGCTAAGACCAGACCGTTCATTGCCTGACCCACAGCTGCATCTTCCTGGTTGTTCATGCTGGAGCTTCGCAGCCTTTGCCGTATTTTTAAAACACAGGCAGCTGGGTGTGGTGGCTCACACCTGTGATCCTGACACTTTGGGAGAGCAAGGTGGGTGGATCACGAGGTCAAGAGATCGAGACCATCCCAGCTGACATGGCAAAACCCCATCTCTACTAAAAATACAAAAATTAGTCAGGTGTGGTGGTGTCCACCTGTAGTCCCAGCTACTTGGGAGGCTGAGGCAGAAGAATCGCTTGAACTCACGAGGTGGAGGTTGCAGTGAGCCAAGATCGCATCACTGCACTCCAGCCTAGTGACAGAGTGAGACTCCGTCTCAAACACACACACACACACACACACACACACACACACACACACACACACAGAGGCAACCAGCCCACTCCACTTGGCTTTGCAATTAATAACCCATTGCTTGACTGTGCCCAGAACCAGCTCTTTAGCTTGCCCTCTAGTGACGAGACTGAAAGCTACAGGCTACCGTTAAGATGGTGTCCCAGGGCAGAAGCGGCTCAACCGTGAGTAGGAGGATTGTCCCCAGGAAACTCATATTTAAAAAAAAAGAAAGAAAGAAAATAAAAAAAAAAAAAACAGCACATCAAACCTCTCTAGGAAGCACTTCTAAGAGCCTGATCCACCCCTGCCCTGCCTCAAGTCACTCATTCCCTGGTGGCTCTGGGTAGGGGACCTGGCACCGGAGGATAAAGCTGTCTGTCCTGTGAAATGAGGGTTAGACCAATGAACCTGCAGCCCTCATGTGCTCCAACAGCCCGGGGCTCCTGCAGAATCACCCTTGAGTTTATCTGCAGGGTCTTTCCAGGGGAACACCAGGTGCTGGAGGGCAAGCACTCCCCAGTTCTGGTTCTGAGAGACTTTTCAGGTGGAATCAGGCACCACAGCTGGAGGCAGAACCTCCCCCAACTCGATGCTCCTTGCTGCCCAGCGGTGGCCGCTAGCAGGAGTGGGCCCTAAGAAAAGGCACAGAGCCCGCTGGGGGCTTCCTCTGTAATTGGAGCGCACAGGGAAGTTGGGCACAGGGTCAATCCCTGTCTTCCCCAGAGGCCAGAGCAGGCTGGTGCTGGGGACCAGGAGTGACCTCCACCTCTGGGAAGCAGCTTAATGAGCTCCCCACACAGCGGGAGAGGAGCCAGGAGGAGCAAGGAGGACCAGGAGGGAGAGGCACAGGGGCCACGCACATGCTCAAGATGCACACTGCCACCCTCCTGGTCACCTTGCTCCACAGACATCCTGCAGCATGGTCTCCCCCGCCCGGCCAGGCCTGCCCAGACTGACCAGTGAATTTTTCAATCCCAGGGTCAGGCCAGCACCACAGGGCGCTCAGGATAAATGGATGTCAGAGGCTGGCTGGGTGGCGTGGGTGACAGAGCCCCAAGGCTCCAGGGCTGGGAATTAGGGGAATGGGGACAGCACTGTCTGTGAGGAGGAGCGGGTGCCAGGACACCTATCCTCTTTGCTGATGGGAAAATTCATCGGCCTGGCTGAGGACAGACAGAACTGTTCAGACTCCAATCCTGCCACTGCATTGCTGTGTGACTTTGTGCGAGCCGCTTTTAAACTTCTCTTAGCCTCACACAGGCTGCTGAGCCATCAGCTGTCAAGTTCCTGGACCACAGAAGGTGGGTAGGTGCCTATAAAAGCCCTGTGCACCCAGGCGTGGTGGCCCATACCTGTAATCCAAGCACTTTGGGAGGTCAAGGCAAGCAGATCACCTGAGGTCAGGAGTTCGAGAGCAGCCTGACCAATATGGTGAAACTCCATCTCTACTAAAAGTACAAAAATTAGCTGGGCGTGGTGGCACATACCTGTAGACCCAGCTACTCGGGAGAGTGAGGCAGAAGAATTGCTTGAACCCAGGAGGTAAAGGTTACAGTGAGCTGAGATGCACCACTGCACTCCAGCCAGGGCGACAGAGTGAGAGCAAGACTCTGTCAAAAAAAAAAAAAAAAAAAAAAAAGCTCCTGGAAGGCAGGCGGGGTCCTCCTCCTCTCCTTCCCCAATCTCCACCCCATCCCTAACAGAGAGCAGTGAGGAATCAGAAGACCTAATGGGCTCCAGCCTTTGCCACTCACTGGCCATGCATCCCTGGGCAGGGAACCTTGTGTCTCCACGTCTTCGTTTTTTTCATCTATAAAATGGGAACAGCTCACCTCCCTCAGAGTGATTTTAAGGCTCAAAACAGGTCATGGACATGAAAACTCTACAAGGCTGGGCAGATGTCAGGGCTTATGGTTGCACAATAATCTCTCTTAAGACTAGGTGGGTGGACAGGTAAATGGATGTGTGGGTGGATGTCCCAGTGACTGCACAGATGGATTAATGGACAAACGGAAGGATGGCGAGAAGGATGAGCAGATGGACGGATGGATGAATGGACAGGTGGATGGGTGGACAGGTAGATGGGTGGACAGGTAGATGGGTGGACAGGTAGATGGATGAACATGTAGGTGGATGGACAGGTGGATGAGTGGACACGTAGATGGATGGACATGTAGATGGGTGGATGGATGAATGGACAGGTGGATAGGTGGACAGGTGGATGGGTGGACAGGTAGATGGATGGACAGGTAGATGGATGGACATTTAGATGGATGGACAGGTGGATGGGTGGAAGGATGAGTGGATTGATGGGTGGGTGGGTGGATGAATGGATGGATGCATGGATGCATGCATGGATGGATGGACAGGTGGATAGGTGGACAGGTGGACAGATGAACAGGTGGCTAGGCATATGGGTGAGTAGGTAGGTGGACCTGTGGTGGTGAGTGACAGAGTTCAAGTTCTAAATCAGTCAGCACAAATGAGGGAGTCAGGTTTCATTGCCCCAGGGAAATGCTCTACAATGTTCTCCTTTAAACTAAGCAACTTCTTTTCCTACAGGTGCTCACCTTGACATCCTGTGAGAACCACTCCCCTACGAACCCTTTGTCCCCAAAAAGCCAGCCCCCTCAGCATGTTCTCCAAATTCTCCTGGGACTCAGAGGCATCAGGGCAACCTGCCAGCGTCTTCAGACCCATGAGCTCCATGGGGGCAGCATCTGTGCAGACACCACAGGATCCTGCACCCACCTGGGCCCTGGTCAGTTTTCTCCTAGTTAATGAAGCGGCGGCGGGGGTGGAGGGTGGGGATGGGCCCTGGCTAGGTAGGCCAGGGATACCCAGGGATGGGTCATCCAGGAATGTGCGGACAGGGAGGGGCTGACTCACTGGGCACGCGGTTGATGGCTTTGAGAGGCCTCAGGACGCGCACGGTGCGGATGGCTGACAGGTTGATGTTCTGAAGGTCCAGGGAGTACTCAACCATCCTGTGGAGAAAGGGGAGAGTAAGGGATGTCGTTGGAGGCCATCCGGGGCCAGGGCCCAGGCCATGGCATTCTCCAGCCACCTGCACACACCTGCCTGGACAGGGCGAGTAAAGACAGGGGTGGGATGCCCAGCTACACCCGGGCAGCATGCGGCCTGGCGCTGCTTCTCCGGCCCTTGTCTCCTCTGTGAATGGTGCTGGTGACAGATGTGGCAGTGGCTGAGGGCGTGAAGGGAACACAGACGTTGCTCCCCCCCCGTGTGCCCAGCACTGTGCCAGGTGGCTCCTGCCCTTCAGGTCCATCCTCCTGGCCCATGACTCATGTCAGCCCCAGCTTCCAGAGCAGCCTCTGAAAGCAGGAGGAACAGCTCCTTCACTGAACAGCTCCATGCCCCTTCCATGCTCAACCAGCCCTGCAGCTCTTTGGAGGCAGTTTGCCTCCTCCAGGAAGTCTTCCCAGATCTCCCACAAGGGGCAGATGTCTGAGGTCCCCTCACAGTGGAAGCACAGAAAACCTCAGTCGGGGGGACTGGGAGATGGGCCTGGCCTACATTCCCAGGATGACCCCCGGGCCCCCATCACCAGACCCTTCCCCAGGCACCTCCCACCTCAGGACTTCAGCGCTGCCGCCAGCTCCACCTGTCATCCACCATGTCACCACTGTCAGTAGGAAATGAAGGCTTTTCCTACACACCGAGCAAACCTGTCCGACTGTTGTGAAGTGCCGCCCCCTCCCGCTGCTTGAAGAGTCATTGAGTGAAAGCTCCATTCCCTGAAATGCAGCCACCATCCATCCCCCACCCTCTGGAGCGCAGGCTCAGGCTCCTACATGAACTCATGCACACACACCTCCACACCTGTGTGCACACACACACACAGTCACACACACGCACACACAGAGTCACAAACATGCACACAACCACACACAGTCACATACTCGCACACAACCACACCTGCACAGTCACACACCTGCACACAACCACACACAATCACACACTTGCACACAACCACACTCATACATAGCCACCCCTGCACACACACATACAACCACACACTGACACACAACCACACACCCGCAAACACAGACATAAACACACACACACCTGCACGCACGCGCGCACACACACACACACACACACACTCATTCCCTTCTTGGACATCCTCATACATGCACACTCCTACTCAAGCCCAAATTCAGATGATGGGGAGTGACCCAAAAAAGTGAGAGACCTAGAGCTAGAGACAGAGACCTCGGGACCTGATGGGGAGGGAGGAGAGAAGGAGGGGGAGCTGGCAGAGAGCAGCGAGGGATGAGGGAGGCAGGGGAAGGAGCAGGAGGAGGGAAGAGGAGTGGGGGAGGGGCGGGGAGTGGAGGCGGTGCTGGGGGCAGCAGCCAGCCTGAGAGGGTGAGGCCCACGGTGACCTGGAAGGGGCAGCAAGGGAGCGGGGCTGCGTGAGGATTCTTTGCGTGGGTGAGCCCAACTGTCATTTTCACATTTTGTAGAAAGAGCTCTCCAGGCAGCCCGGAGACACGTGTGATGGAGGGGCTGCGGGGGTGGCACACACAGGCACACAAACAGGCACTAGCACCCGCGGGGCCCAAGACTGCCGAGCCCCATTGCAGGCAGCCAGGCCTGGCTCCGGCTGGACCCCTGCCCCCACCATACCCCTCCCCCACAGATGTGGCCCTTACTCCTCCTGCCTTGATCATCATCCAGATCCTGTGGGGAAGCAGGTTGGGGAGAGGGGTTGGCGGGGAATCAGTCCCTAGGGAGACCTGGGAACCCCCCACCAGGCTCGGTTCATGCTTTGCTGGGTGAGCTGGAGGTGGGGGCTCCCAGCCAACACCAGCCTGAACCCACCCACATGCTGCCTCCTCAGGGCCCAGAGGGCACACCTGCCCAGCTCTGGCAGACGTTCATTGAGGACTTGTTCCCATCCCCATGAAGTCTCGCCGTGAAAACAAACAGATGCCTGAAAGACGGATGGGTAGACAGAAAAGCCACAGCTGTTTCAGGCCCTACTGGGTGCTGGGCACTGTTCTCTCTGCCTGCAGGAAGCCATTTCAATCTCCATATGTGTGAGTGTGGGGCCCATTATGCTCTCCCGCCACAGCCTCCCTCCATTCCACCCCAGACCAGGGCAAACCGCATCCAGGCCTGGCTCGCTGAGAGAGCCCTTAGGACGACCCCCTGCTGGTCCATAACTCCCCTCCCCCACACGGCCACACAGCTTCCTTCCCTGTGGCTCATAGTTAAGTGACGGTACCAACCATGGCCCCTGCCCCAGGATAGGCTGGGGGACGAGAATGTCCCCATGCAATTCAGGCCCTTGATGACAAAAAGTGTTTTCTTGCATTTTGTGTTTCTCTACAACAAGGGGTGGCAGGAAGAGGCTGACCCCAGGGTCCTCAATGAGATACAAGTTGTGACTGGATGTGACAGAGGCCCACGATGACCCAGTTAGTAACTTTAGGGTCTGAACACCTTCCAGACCTCAGCCTTGCCACAGGCGGCTGATCAGACACATGTCTCAATTTTTCCTGAAGGCCACCTGGGATGGAAGAACTATCTCCCTCCCCTTCTTCTCTTTCCACCCTGGTGACAGCCAAGACAGCTGGGACTTCCTGCCCACATTCCAAAAAGAGAAGGTAAGGAAGGGCCACCCTGTGGGCTGACTCCCCTCAGGCCCCAAATAAGACATCACTTATGGGAGTGAGAAATTAATTCCTAATTACACAGTTACTTTATCACATAACTTCAGTGCTAAAAGTCTAAAAAAGAAATCAACAAACCCCCCACTACCTCCTGTCAGCTCCTAAGCGCTTAATTAGGTAACTAATGTTGCTTTAAAGAGAGCACTTCCATCCTGAAGTCGCCCCAGGAGGAGGTGGCTGTCTTCTGGGGAGAGGGGCTCGGGTGTGGCCAGGCTGTAGGAGGGGCCATGCCAGGGAGGACAGGGAGGGTGGGCATCATTTCTCCCCAGCATCCTGAACTCCAACCTTATTCCTCAAAGAGCCTCCCTCCCCGGCTCCTGGCTCCTAGCAGAGGTCCACCCAAGGATCCCATGACCTCAGCCGGGCCACCATGGCTGGCTCAGGACAGGTACATGGTCCCAGGCAGGCCGTGAGGGCAGCACAGCTCATGAGTGGGGTCTGTGGGGACGAGGCCCTCTCCCTGGCTGAGCCGCTGCCTGGAAACCCGGAGGCCACCATGGCTCCATGGTGGCCTGATAATTTTGCCAACACAAAGGAGGGCTGAAGCAAGAGCTGGAGAAAGGTGGGCTCCTGACTGCATGCTGGGTCAGGATCCAGCTGAGCCTGGATCTCCGACCTGCCCTCTGCTCTCCACGGTTACCTGGGACAGTGCTTTCCTTTTGGGTTCTAGGTCCTGCCTGCACTGTATTTCTGTTCACTGGAACTCAGGGTCCTGGTTGGTTTAGAAAGGTTATCTGAGCACTTGCTACCTGCTGCAAGCTTCATGCCCCTTCCCTCGGGTACTCTTCCCTCCGTTGGATTATGGCGCCCACTGCAGATGAGGAAACTGAGGCATAGAAGGGGCCCATGTCAGGCCAGGCATGGTGGCTCACACCTGTAACCCCGGTACTTCGGAAGGTCGAGGCGGGCGAATCACCTGAGGTCAGGAGTTCAAGACCAGACTGGGTAAGATGGCAAAATCCTGACTGTACTAAAAATACAAAAAAACAAATTAGGTGGGCATGGTGGTGCATGCCTGTAATCCCAGCTACTCTGGAGGCTGGTACAGGAGACTCACTTGAACCCAGGAGGCAGAAGTTGCAGTGAGCTGAGATTGTGCCACTGTACTCCAGCCTGAGCTACAAGAGTGAAACTCCGTCTCAAAAAAAAAAAAAAAGAAGGGATCCATGTCCCACAGCCAAGGGACCCAGAAGCTCTGTGTGACTTGCCCCCTCCCCCACCTCATCAGTCACCGGCAAGGCTTTGCCGGAGCAGGCCCCGGCCAGGTGAGCAGAAGGCACAGTGCTCACCACAGCACGCGGACCACGGCCAGCATCCCCTGAGGCAGTGCTGCCTTATGGTCAGAGGACAGGGTTGGGTTCCCATCCCAGCTCGCTGCTCGTGTACCATGTGACTTTGGGCAAGTCACTGACCTGAAACGTGTTCACATCCAGATCCAGTGCTCAGAACAGGGCCTCACACAAGGAACAGCCAAGAAATGTGAGCTATTATTGTATCACAGCCTCAACTGTTACCTCAGTTCACACGCGCCCACGAGTCACATGAGGCCCTCTCCAGACCCCACCCCCAGCCAGAAATGAGCTCTCCTGCCTGGTGTCCCACTGATCCTCCATGAGGGTACTTCTGGGCACCCGACCCTGTTCCTCAGAGCGAGGGCTGGCTCGGAGGCCCTGCGGGGTCCCCAGTGCCCAGCCCAGGTTCTGACTTAGAGGTGGACTCCCTGTGGGAGCTTATCAAACAAATGATTTGAGGGACAAGATCAGAAAAAAAAAGCCAAAAAAAAAAAAAAAAAAAAAACAAAAGCTTGGCTCTGACAAGAAGCCACAAGAAATGACTGAGATTCAACATCTTTCCAGGAAATACCCCGCCCAGGAGATGATTTCTGTGTGTGGCTGATAAAAATAGGGTGTTTCCTCAATCTTCACAAGGGGCCCACGGGGGCTTTCTTAAAATGTGATTTAAGATGTAGCTAATGGAAGGGAAGCTGAGATGCTGGAAATCACAGATCATCTGTCAGGAGGCAGCTCTGGGATGACTCAGGCTTGTGTTGGTTGCTAACTAGACCACCAACCATTGCCAATATCCAGGCACCCAGGACACAGTAGGTTTTCTGTGGAGCACACAGTAGGTGCTCTGTGGAGACTGGGAGGGAAGGAGGAAGAGAATGAGGAAGGAAATAATGGAGAGAATTTGGGAGTAATAACATTAACCCTTGACTGTGGCCAACCCCTCATGATTTATGGGTCATTTTACCCATTGCTATGGTCTGAATGTTTATATCCACC